CCGCGCCCGGCCTAATAAATGGATTTTTTTTTTTTTTTAATGTTAATTGAGGTTCTCTAAAGGGAGCCTTTTAGGCAACATGCCCACTGGGTGTACTGATTCCTAGGGTGGCTGGTGTCAGGCGAATCGATGTGGCTCCCCCAGCCCCCTCCTGGGAACATCCTAGAGACAGGGTGGAAACGCACGCGGCCTGGTGGTCCCGGGAGCGGTCATGGTGCCCAGCCCCGAGGTCTCCGCCTGCCCTGGAACCCCATGTCAAGCACCCGCGGACTCTCACGTCCTCTTTTTACAGGGCGGCAGGCGCTTCTCCTGCACCTTGGCCTGGCGCTTCTTCTAGGCCTCTTCTGCCTCGCGTTTCTCCTCCTTGGCCACCTTGTAAGGCCACTTTACTATTCGCAGGTGGCCGCTGTCCTTTGTGCTGCCCTTCCGCGCCGACCTCTCGGGGTTGGAAGGTGGGCGCCAGCGCCTTGGTGAGGCTGATCTGGGGCACCACCACGCCGGCCACAAGCTGCTCCGCTGAAAGCCCTGCAGGGGCAGAGGCTGGCCTTCCGCGGGGCAGTGGTGGCGGAGCCCCAGGACCCCGGCAGCGGGGCAAGTGGGAGGCCGACTCTTGCAGAGCCCTCCAGGGAGCCCAAAGCCGCTGGGCCGGGCCGCTTAGGCTGTTCTGCGCCCTCCTCTTCCCTGCCTCCTGCGCCCGCCCCCTCCCCCACCCCCCGCCGCGCCCCCAGAATTTCCTGCAAGGCCAGGATTTCCTGCACGACCAGGATTTCCTGCACCACCAGCCGTCCTCTTCCGCACGCACAGAGTGCTCTCGGGGCACACTGTCTGGCACGCGATGGCCACGGCGGGGCTGTTAGAGGCTGGTGGTCATCCTGACCATGTGGTCCAGGGCGCCCAGGTCCTCCGGGCCGCGCACGGAGCTGGGCGTCAGCGCGGACAGCTCCCAGTCCTTGAGCTTCTGCAGGCAGTTCTTGGAGACCTCCCGCTTCCGCGCCCTCTAGAGGAGCCGAGTCAGCTCAAGCTGGTACTTTTCCCTGAACCGCTACAGGCAGGGGCGCTCCTGGAGCCTCTGCATGAGGCCGACTTGTAAGTGGCCACTCCTCTGACGACACCCCACCAAGGGGGCCCCGTGTGGACACCCGCCCCTGTTAGCTCAGGGCTGGGATGCTGTCGACCAGGCATGGCGGCTTTCAACCCGAAGGCGCCCCTCCTTCAAGGTCAAGACCCGGGACATAGTTCAACAAGTAGTTGGTGATGATAGCGTGCCCTGACTGGGCCAGAACAGCCTCTTTAGTAAAACAGCGCAGGAAAGTGATGAAACAGATGCTCAGCTCCTTTCTTCATTTTCATTTTAATTCCGTGATGCCTCTGTGTCCCTCTGACGACATTTCTCCTGGGATCTGTGACTCTGCCCGTCTTCAATGCCTACTGAGAAGGGTTCCTGGCCCTCATCAGGCATGAAAACCTCAAAGCCCTCTGCCCTCAAGGTGGGATCCCTGGGCCAGCGGCATCAACCTCACCTGGAAACCTGTTCTTCTACTCAATCTTGGGCCCCACCCCAGGCCTTTTCAAAGGAAGACTCCAGGGGCAGGGCCTGGCAGCCTGTGTTTCCACCAGATCTGTGTTAAAGCTCAAATGAACCAGCCCAGGTGATGCTGACGCAGGAAGCGCAAGGCTGAGAGGCAGTGTCTAAGGCAACTGTGTCCATGGGGCCAGGGGCAGCTCCTGCCTGTGCAGCTATGATTAGGGCTGCATTCCCCTCCCTGTCCTGCAGGTTGACCTCAGTGTGGGAGCACTCATCTAAGGCCACCAGGGTATATCCACAAAGCCGTGGTAGCAGATGACATTAAGGCCGGTCCAGCCATTGTGGTCAGTCTCCTGCGCCTTCTCAACGCTCACCCCACACCGCACCAGACTCCACAGCAGCCCCAGGACTCCGGAACTCCCTCCGGGACGCTCTCCACGCCCTGGATGCCGTGCCCCTCCTCATCCCGGAAAGGGTAGAAAGAATTGTCCTGCTGAGGGCAGTGGCTCACGCCTGTAATCCCAGAACTTTGGGAGGCCAAAGCGGGTGGATCACGAGGTCAGGCGATCATCCTGGCTAACACAGTGAAACCCCGTTTCTACTAAAAATACAAAAAATTAGCCAAGCGTGGTGGCAGGCGCGTGTAGTTCCAGCTATTCGGGTGGCTAAGGCAGGAGAATGGCATGAACCCGGGAGGCGGAGCTTGCAGTGAGCAGAGATCAGGCCATTGCACTCCAGCCTGGGTGACAGAGCAAGACTCCCTCAAAAAAAAAAAAAAAAAAAAAAAAAGCCAGAGGCGATGCTGCGGGTGGGTGTCGGGCAGACTGGAGAAGTCCTGGAACTCTTTGTAGTAAGCGCGATCCTCCTCGACCTGTGCCCCTAGGGGTGGGGACTGCATGCAGAGCGCCTTGCCACCCTGTGGCCAGGTCCCAGCCAGCAGCACCATGCAGGCTGCGGGAGGCGTGGGCGGGGGTCCAGCGCACCCTCAGGGAGAGCCAGTCGCGTGCGCCAAGCTCCCTACTTCTCGCTTCTGCGTCCCCAGAGAAGCCCTGTCTCTACCTGATATAGCTGGCCTAGACATATGCAGATTTATTAATTGTGGAAGAAAGAATTATACCTTTCAGGTAAAACGGCTACATAAAATAATTAGTTGCTGTTTTTGAGACAAATTCTCACTCTGTCACCCAGGCTGGAGTGCAATAGCACAATCAGAACTCACTGCAGTCTTACACTCCTGGACTCAAGCAATCCTACCAACTCAGCCTCCTGAGTAGCTGGAACAACAGGTACACACCACCATGCGAGGCTAATTTTCTTTTTCTTTTTTGGTAGAGATAAGGTCTATGTTGCCCAGGCTGATCTCAAACTTCTGGCCTCAAGTGATTTTTCTGCCTTGGCCTTCCAAAGCACTGGGATTATAAGTATGGCCACTGTCACCAGCCTTATATCAATTTTTTTTTTAAATACAGATAGCTTCCCAACTAAAAATATTTTATTAGACTTCTCTTAAGTCAGCAAAGCAGTGTCATTACTGACCCAGTCTTCCCTTATTTTTAGCTTATGTGCAATAACAAAATTACCTTTATTTTTAAGTTTGTTTTATTTTATATTTTCAAGGTATACAATATGTTGTTTTGAGATACATATACATAATGAAATGATTACTATAATGAAGAAAATTAACAAATATATCATATCACTTATCTGTGCTTGTTTTTTATGATAAGAACATCAAAAATCTAGTCCCTCAGAATGTTTCCCCAAAACAATACAAGATTATCGAATATACCTACAGGTTGTACATCAGATTCATTTATTCTACATTACTGTGCCTTACAACTTTTGTCCTTCGTTTACCTAATTTCTTCCCATCAATGTAAGCACCTTTCTTAATGTATTGAACTTTTAAAAATAGATTTCAAATATGAGTGGGGCCATGAAGTATTTTGCTCTGTGTGTCTGTCTTATTTCACTGGAGAAAACTGCCATTTACATGTCTCCTAAATTTAGTACAGAAATAGAGTGCTAGTCAAGAATATGTCTGTTTTGTTAGATTATTTTTTCCAAGTTATCCTCTTTATCAATTTTTTTTGTACTATAAAAGAGTCAAAATTCTTGTATTAAAAATGTCTGTACCCAGGCTATTGATAGATAACTTTTTTTTTTTTTTTTTGAGACCGTGTCTTTCTCTGTGGCCCAGGCTGGAGTGCAGTGATGTGATCTCTTTATATTGAGTGAAACAATAAGAGAACATTTCTGATAAGTATTTTCAAAATTTGGAGAATCATTCTTATCTAAATCATTCATTTAAGGGACTAAAATACAAGTAAGATGTTTCTTGCCACATAACCTTCAGCTAGCCAGGCTCTGAAAAGGACAACACTGGACACTTTGACAGTGGTAAAAAGCAGCGTTTACTCACTCTGGAATACTAAGAACTGATGATAACCTTAAGCAGCACCTTATCTCTTTGGTTGAGGTTCTGCTTTGTTTCATTGAACAAATCTCTTGGGTTATTTTCTGTTGTGCTAGTCATTAATTTGTTTTCTGAATCAAATGATGAGAATAAATATTGTTCTGAATGTAAACAGCATTACCAGATATATCCTACAACTGCCTAATTTTGAACCTATAGGATGGGAATCAAAGCATTGTGAAAAACACCAGGTGATTTCCTTATAGCCAAATACTCTTGTCCCTCCTGCTTTTCTTTTGGCTTTCCTGCTGCATGGGTCATGGCAATAAATGGAAGTTTTCTGCACACAGAGAAAAAATTCACTTGTTGAAGATGTTAGTCTTCTTGACCAACTCCTATATTGGTACAAACATGTGAGAGCAAAGCACCTTCTGAATCATGTCAAATTTATGGTCTTTGTTAAAGCAGGTAAGCTGGTGCCTTAGGAGACGTAGCTATCACATTCTACTATAGAATTTTCCATTCTGTATCATCTGGATTCTTATTTAAAATTTAAACTAATGTTGTTCTTCCTACTGCATAAGAATGTTTACACCACTTTATGCTTAGTAAGTGATTAAAAGTATATGTCAGTTAAAATCAGGACAGTCTCCTTTATTCTAAGTCCTGTTCCTGTTCTCCATCATCTTACATAGGAACCTTCCTCTTTCAATGGTTTATATTATAAAACCTAATTGAAGTAAACCCTATAAAACTTATGCTACAATTATTTTAAACCCTAACATAACAGTATTATCTTTGATATGAATCTGAAAATCAATTTATTTCTTATCTTTTGATAGATATTCATTAGTATGTTCTATCCTATTTTGTTACTTATATTTTGGAAAAGTTTCTTAATGTTAGAATAGTATTACATAATTCCTCTACTTATCCATTTATTCATTTTATTTATTGTGTAATCTATTCTAAAAATTGCACTGGATAATGGTAATATATTAGCAAAGAAGACAAATAGTGCCATTACCCCCTTGGAATTTTCAATCTGGTAGTAATAAGAATAAGAGTTTCCTGAATATTATAATCTGATATAATATACTCAGAGAAGATGTAATAGCAGAACAACCCAGCACTGAAAAACTGTTGTATGAGCTGAAATGTGATTAATAACTAGGATGTTGAGAAATAGTAAAGTCTGTGAGGTCAACTTAACTTGGTCAGACTTAAAAAGAAAATAAGCACTCTTCTTTATATATATAAAGATACATAAGATATCCACCACTTCATTTTTCTACCCCACCCTGCTTTAAATATACAAGTAAGACAAATGGTTTACAGTATGTACAAACTAAAAACATAATCGCTGAAAAGGAAATCTGATTTAAAAAGAACTTATATTGTATGATTTTATTTACCTGAATGCAAAAACATAAAAAGTAGATTAAGTGTTATGAAGGCATGGGGGAGGGTGAATGGAGAATAAATGTTAATGGGTATTGGGATATTTCTGGAAGTGATAAAAGTGCCCAGGCATTAGAAAGTTCTGATGGCTGCACAAGTGTAATATACTAAATTCTCTGAATTAAATACATTAGAACATGACTTTCAGGGTAAGTGAATGAATCTCAACAAAACTGTACAAGAAAAGCCATTATTGATGTTCCAGTAAAGATTTCACAATAACTTATTATTTAAAATAACTTAATTAACAAATGTACACATTCAAGGTGTTTATCCCATGTATAACCATAAATTAATTATATTCCATGAACTTACAATGAGCTCACAGGCTCCACACATCAGGTCTCAGCACATTATTTGCATCATATATGGGGGGGTCACAATAAATCATCATGAAACCAACTTTTTATGTACAACCAAAGCAAAAGAAAGGCCTCAGAGGGGAAGAGAAGGAGGAAGGAGGAAAACCATAGATAAGAGAACCTTTAGAAACATCAAAAAAACTCACAGATCCATTATCATAATCCAGAAACACCCCAACCCGACCCAGAGGCCTTTGCACATGCTGAATTAAAGGTGGAGAGTTGGTGGAGAGACTATAGTGATTGCTCCTCTTTGAGGAAATTAACAAAAATATTTCATCAGAATCAAGAACGATATTGGTATCTGCTGTCCAGGAATCTCGACAGACTCCCAGAATCCAGGTGGAGGAGTGGGTCACATCCACTTCCCAGTAATGCCTGCCAGAAGTGAACACTTGTGCTCCCCACACAGCAAAGCTCTCCACTCCCTGGGGATCCATGGGTGCGCTGCCATGGTCGTCTCCGAATATCACACGTCTCACATCCCCAGAAAGGCTTATATAGCAAGGAGTCATTTCCGTACTCAGAGCATTATCCACTGACAAGGAAAAATATTATATTAGTGAGTGCTATGAGGGACAGAGGCTCTGTGGCCCAATTATTCACTTCAGTTGCTTTTCTTCCAAGAAAATACAGAAAAGAGGAAGCCAAGAGAGTTCAGCACCATGCATCCATGAAGATGAAATGTCATTACAACTCTACAGCACATACAATTATATATTATTCCTTAAATAATAGAGAAAAAATGTGACCATATCACTGGGCGAAGTAATGATTAAATGTCTACCTCTGTACAGTTTCTTTCAGGACTTATCTAAAATTCTTTTTTCTTTAATAGAAAATCTTCTTGTATTATTTGTCTTTAAGATCATCAACAGGTAGACATCACTTTCCCGTGATGTGAGTATTAATTGGAATGTAAGTTATGCCTGTTATAGTCTCAAACCTCTAAACTTTGCTAGAAATTGACACATGTAAAGTTTATAAGTTTCTGAAAGGAATACTCTGGCTTTACACTATCTCTTTAGCTCCTGATTCAATCTACTCTGCGTTCCTGCCCTCTGGTACCTAGACCTGCTCTCTTGAGTGGAGCTAACATGCTTAGGCCATGTTCACAGATCTCTCCCCTTTCAGTTGTTACATATCTGATGGCATTAAAGTTGTCCTGATTATGGATATTTTAGTCATTTTTGTATCAAAATGCTCTGATTTTGTAAATAATAAAGGTTACTTGTAGAATGCATGTAAATGCACATAGAATAGAGCCAATTAAAAACCATTATGCCAAATCTAACCCTCAAAATTGAATTAAATTGAATAAACACGAAATACTGATGCCACCGTGACAACTAGTGTCCTCATAACTACAGGATCTGAATATTCTTTATCCTCTTATTCTGAAGACAAAGTATGTACATTGCTTTACATTTTCATCAAACTCTAACTCAGGAAATTGAGTTTTGATCTTTGTAGTATTACTATGCAGGTGGAGAAGATGCACATGTTTTGGAAAACTATGTATTACCTACATATCAAAAATTATAAAACATAAATGGGAAAAGCCACCACCAAGGGATCCAATAAGGAAATGATTTGAGGCTGGACTGCCAAGCAGCTGGCTCTTACCTCTGAAGTTGTTGAGCATGTCTAGGACTCCAGTTATGCGCCATGAAGGGAGCTCCGGGTTCACTGGCTGGGTCTTTTGCATCTGTGCCAAATCAGCCCTGCAAAAAAATGGTCTCAGTTATATTTCCAGGCCCAGAGCTAATCACACAGTCATACAAAGATATCATATTTTCATCTAAGATGTTTCCTCAGAATTCTGCCAGTTTTGGTTAACTGCATGTGCATTTTATTCCACACTCTAGGGGCCATACAAATGTTACTTTTTCTGAATTTTCTTGCATAAAAACCCAATTTCCCCAGATATGTTGTTTTCAGACATTACACAACTTCTAAACTCATTAAAAGACATTGCATCCCTCTGCCCATTACACCCCGAGGGTATGCAAAAATCCTGGAAATATTTCAGAGAGCAAAAATCTCAGACAAAAGTCTTTGGGACCTCAGCCTGTACCTGTCACTAACACTAGTCAGCGTCTAACATAGAATATGAACTGAGACAAAAAGCTTTAATCTTTTGAGCAAAACAAAGGAGTCTAATTCCAGCCTGAGAACACTGATGCTGAGGGTCCTAAGGCAACCATTTTCCTGTGGTCTTTCCTAGAACTGGGTATATTGTGATGGAGCAAGTCCTGGTCATTGATGCTTCTAGGAACAAAACCTTCCTCCTCAGCCCACCCAGAGGGAATCTCTCTCCTCCTTCTGTCTTTTTTTTTTTTAACCTCCCACCCTCTACAGTAGAAGAAAACACTATGATTCTGCAGAGTAATTTTGTATTAAGATCTGTGGGGTGAGGCTGGTAAGGATGGATGGACTGGGAAGAACAAACTTCAGAATGGCAAACTGTTTTTACATATATTTGAATTCATACAAATTTTAAGATGAAAACTTTCCAGACCTAAGAGAAGAAGACCTCAGGCCCTCTTTTGAAACAAAAATGGAAATAGCCACTCAGAATGATATTAGTACCTCAAAATGTATACATCCCCTTCATTCACAAGAGAATGAACTTTTCAGAAATAGCATTTTTTTTTAGTGTGAACTCACCTTGCCGATACATTTCTCATATCCTGCAAAAAAATAAAAGATAATGTTAATTGTGAGAGATTTTTCCTTCTGCATCTTTTCTCATACTCTTGTTTCTTTCTGTTTTACTGTTTTAAAAATGTCAATCTTTTTATTCCCCTCTAAGGAATCATTCTAGGCTACGTTAATAACAGAACCTCAACTAAATATGAAAAGCTTCATCAGTGGGCATGAAGAAGAAAGGAGCTGAGCAAGAGATGGTGGAGTAAAGCAAAGATATCTAGGTTTCCAGTGTCATTAATTTCCTAATCATATTTCCAAGGAAAGGTCTGACCACACATGACAACTATTAAAACAAAACAGAACCATATGAGAAACGGAGTACACGGACATTGATGAGCAACTTTTACAAACCTCACCCAGACAAGGGGAAAACCCTCAACGTCTTCAGCAAATCACTGTTGTATGGGACATCAGAGAGTGAGGAGGAACTAGGGCATATAAATGGAGTATTACTAACCTTCCCCTAGCCTCAAGTTCTAATGATTTTAGATGATCTCACTGTGTGGATATTACTCCAAATTATATTGAAGAGAATTTTGTTATATGTGATCTGCGAAAATGGTAAAAATTTCCCAAAGATTACCAAAGTATGCAGTAATAAGTGACTGGACAAATGTAATGTAATGGTGGGAGTCAGACAGCATGTGTCACTTAGCTTAGAGCAGTGACATATGCAGGTGACATGTGCATGTCCTGGCAGCAATGTCCAGCAAGGGTTTCCTGTCTCTGAAGATGGACCCTCCCTCCTCACCTGGAGCAGCTCCACGTCAGGCATGTGGCACGTCTCCCACAGCACTCTGTACATGTCTTTCATCCTTTCTAAATGTTGGGTCATTCTCACTTGACTGTCTTGTAGTTGTTGGAAAAGCTCTTTTGTTTCTCTTTCCAGTGCCTGCAGATGCAGTTGCTCCTCCTCATCGAGAAATATATGCATCTTTTGATATTGAATAGTGATTATCACCTTCCTTAATGAGACATAGTCCTGCAGAGATGTTTGGTTAAAAGAATTACATGTTCTCACTCTCAATAGAAAACTTCAAATAATTATATGCTGGGTGTAATCAAACAATTTGTAAACTTTCTGCTTCACTCTTGCAAAGAGTCTTGAATATTTGGTGTTGTTTTCTGTCCATCTTTTTCAATATTCCTATTCTCTCTCCGCTTTTAAATCAAAACTTATATAAAGACTTCTGGTTTCTGTCACTGTGATGCTTCTTTACAGTTCTTACTGAGTCCATTATTTCCTCTATTTATTTCTCTTTTAGGATTTTTCCATATGTGATTCGCCTAAATGTTAAAGAACATTTAGCCATACAACATATTATGCTTTTTTTCTTTTTTACTTTTACTATATTTTAACTCTATATACTCTTCTATTTCTGTCCTCTTCCTCACACCCAGTCTTAGTGAAATGTTGTCTCATCTGCAGTGTCTGAAAAGGTTTATACCAAACTTCAAATTTGACTACAATACATATCATGCCATTTATCCAGTATACTAGAATTAATTTGGCTAGCTTGTGTGGGCTGCTCTCTTTGCGATTCCTATTATATCAATTGAAATCACTACATTTTCTTGGGATGAAATCACTATCTTTTAACTGGTAGTTGGAATTTAGCTAAAAAGTATAAGCCAACATTGTGTTTATTTGCATAAAAATAAAGGAAATACTTTCATTCTTACCACTAACGAACGAAATTTGCTAGTTTCCTGATTTAGATTATTTTGTGTCTCTTGATTGGTTTTCCATAAATAGTCCATTTCTTTTGTAAGTTTCTCCTGCAAAAGAAGCAAGAAGCTTAGCAATAAATGAAGACAGTATACTAGATTTCATTCCCTTATCAATTAAATAAAAAGGCTGTAATTGAAAGAAACATAAATTCAAGTTAGAGTGGAGTGGTCAGATTTTACCATGTTAAACAAATTTGGTTCTAATAATTTAGATTTGAAAAGTCATAGAAATATAATAGAGAGTTTTAAGGGACCCTGCAGATAATATCATCAATTTTCTGAGAAACTGGCTTTTATATTACATGACTTTGAAAAGTGTTCTTGGTGCTGGTCACCTGTTCCACAGCTCCATTCTATACGTTCGAACAATGTTTCTAAAGAAACCTCCCTTAGTGAAGTGTCAGCACAGCTATGATTAGAGTGCCAAATTAGTTAGCAACATTGAAAGGATACATTTATGTGTTATGATTGACATGGAATAATCACCACCTCCACCATCTGCATTCTCATCACCATCACTGTCATAGGCCCTCATCATTCTTATTTGGGATTATATACATATCAAACTGCCTTAGAGGCATCACATACCCTGCATTCCTCAGCAGCCCATCCTATTGGACTGTGGCTGTGAGCCATGTGCTCTGGTGACTCAGAGCAGGGCCCACAGTGCAATTGCTTGTCAACCTCACAGAAGAGCTCCTTAGTCTCCTCATGGAGCACACAGATATTGTGTGAGTTGTTGATGTTCTGAGGTCTGGTCTGTCTGGCTAGGGAAGCCAGCTTTTTGAGTGTAACATTGGTGTTGAAGTCGGGCTTCACTGAGATTTCTCTGCACTCACGGCAGCGCATTGGTGCTCTGCCTTCTTCCCAGCAGAGGCAGAGGCAGGGCCTGCAAAAGCTGTGCCCACAGTCAATGGTGACTGGGTCTATGAAGTAGTTCATGCAAATAGAGCAAATGAGCTCATTCTGGAAGGCTTGCAGGGTGTCTGAATCCATATCTCTGAAAATGAAGAAAAAGGTGAGAATTTCTTTTTCTTATTTTTATTTGCCCTGATGAAAAGGAAAAAAAGGCCAGTGGACAATTTTCCTTGTCTACTTGAGGTCTGTCCAATATGTCTAATAAGTTAGCTCCAGTATAAACTGAGACATAGTAAATGCAAACATGCTGGATTTATAAAGTTTTCCCTCAATAGCCATTGAAGATTGGGTCCAGGACTCCCTGAGATACCAAGATCCTAAGATGTTCCAGGCTCTTATTAGTAAATGGTGTGGGATTTGCATGTAACCTAAACCTGTCCTCCTGAATACTTTATGTCTAGGTTACTTTGAATGCCTAATACAATGTAAATGCTGTGTAAATACTTGTAATGCCATACTGTTTAGGAACAGCAAGAAGATTGTTAAAAATATGTACATGTTTGGCAGGGTGCGGTTACTCATGCCTATAATCCCAGCACTTCGGAAGGCCGAGGTGGGAAGATCATGAGGTCAGGAGACCGAGACCATCCTGGCTAACATGGTGATACCCTGTTTCTACTAAAAATGCAAAAATTTAGCCGGGCGTGGCGGCACGTGCCTGTAGTCCCAGCTATTCAGGAGGCTGACGCAGGAGAATTGCCTGAACCCAGGAGGTAGAGGTTGTAGTGAGTGGAGATGATGCCACTACACTCCAGCATAGGTAATAGAGTGAGATTCTGTCTCCCAAAAAGAAAAAAAAAAAAAGGGATATGTTGTTCAGTACAGCTGCTTTTTTCTTCCTGTAAATATTTTTTTCTGAGATTAGTTGAATCCATGGGTATGAAACTTATGGATATGAACAACCACTACGATTCAAATGAGAAAATGAGATGAGAGCCCTCATGGTATTTTGTTAAACAAGCCATGCTCTCAATCATTCCCAGTTACTTAGCAAGCTTAAAGCCTGGGTAGACGGTAAAAGCTGAGATGATTTCTCAGTCACTTATATAAGCTGATTCTTATTTCTTAATCTCATTCTTAAGAACATTCTTAATCTCGTTCTGTCTCTGTCATTCTCTCTCAACGATTCCATGATGATAATATATGAAAGACACTTAGTATCTCTGCTATTATTCTGTACTCCCTGCCTGCAAACTCACCTATGAAGTTTGCTCACACAATTATAAATGAAGTAGGTTTTATCTAAGATTGATTAATCAGAGTGGACTATCAGCTCCTAAAATTATCAATCATTAAATTTGTCCTTTTAACTTTAATATCAAAACTCTTCCTTTCAAAACATTAATTGTACATAATATCTATTATTTTTAATTTAGAAAATTTTTTCCATAGTCAGTTCAGATGATTAGAGAGAACACTTTCACATTCTGAAATAACGAATATTTAAACTATAATAATTTACAAGAATTAATCAACAATTAATTATCTTGTAAAATAACAATAAAAGTGAAGACATGTATTAGGTTTTCCACTCTACACTAGAAAATCTGGGAATGCAGTTAATGGAAGCCTGGCCACAAATTCATCTCTCCTCTTAGTGACTTGGGAGTTGCAGCCTCTTGGGAGCCCTTGTCAGAGGGTTATATCTATTTTCTTTCTTTCTTTCTTTCTTTCTTTCTTTCTTTTTCTTTCTTTCTTTCTTTCTTTCTTTCTTTCTTTCTTTCTCTCTTTCTCTCTCTCTCTCTCTTTCTCTCCCTTCCTTTTTTTTTTTTTTTTTTTTTGTTGTTGTTGTTGAGGTGCATTCTCACTCTGTCACCCGGGCTGGAGTGCAGTGGCGTGATCTCAGCTCACTGCAACCTCCGCCTCCCAGGTTCAAGCAATTCCCCTGCCACAGCCTCCCAAGTAGCTGGTATTACAGGCACCCATCACAATGCTAGGATAATTTTTTGTATTTTAAGTAAAAATGTGGTTTCACCATGTTTGCCAGGCTGGTTTCTAACTCTAGACCTCAAGCGATCTGCCTGCCTTGGCCTCTCAAAGTGCTAGGCTGCAAACATGAGTCATCATGCCCGGTCAATTAAAACTATTTTCAACGGCTTTCCCATCTAGTCTGCAAACTGCAAATTTTGAAGAGACGCAAATAAGACCTTTGCAACAAGAATTTTCAAAGTAATTCAACATTTTTAACATTGACTTTGGTGTACATTATAACCATTACTACATGCCCACATTCTACCGAACATTTTAGGTATTTTATGGGTTCTATCATTGCATGAAACTATCGAAATATATCTTTTCACACTTAAAAAAATCTAACAATACAGAAAATAGTCACATAAGAAGAATCAAATGGCAAGGCAACACAAACCAGATGTTACAAATTGAAGATGCTTTATACGGATTTTCTGTAAAATCACTAAAACAGTTACCTGTTTCCTTAGAAAAGAACCAAGCATGCTGCCAGGTAAATTTAAAGTATTTTTAAGAGAAAAAGTGAGCATGATGGGTTTACTGCAAATTTTATACTCACAAGGCTACTATGAATGGTCTCAGTCTAGAAGCTCAGTAGATATCCAGATACAAGTAACTCCTGGTGCTCCAAAGCCCAACAGCCACAAATCTGGTGGGTCCTCACTGAAGGAGAGAGAAGTCTCTGGACAAGCATCCTTTTAAAGGGTATGGGCCTATGAAAGACCACACCCACTTCCTGAGGTTGATTAGATTGCGCAGAAAGGAGTAAATTGGCTGATTAGGTTTATAAAGTATTGAAAACCACACTTGGGGGCTCAGAGCTCAACAGACAAGTTCGGAATGAGATGTAAGAAAGTTGACTTAACACAGGTTAATCAAAGAAATATTTTAAGTACAAGAATTATTTCATTAAACATTATCACATGCTAATTTTTTTTTTTTTTTTTTTTTTTTTTTTTGAGACGGTATCTCACTCTGTCATCCAGGCTGCAGTGCAATGGCTTGGTATTGGCTCACTGCAACCTCTGCCTCTCGAGTTCAAGCAATTCTCCTGCCTCAGTCTCCCAAGTAGCTGGGATTACAGGCACCCGCCACTAAGCCCAGCTAATTTTTGTACTTTTAGTAGAGACGGGGATTCACCGTGTTTCTCAGACTAGTCTTGAACTCCTGACCTCAGGTGATCTGCCCACCTTGGCCTCCCAAAGTGCTGGGATTACAAGCGTGAGCCACTGCACTGGGCTACATGCTAATTTTAAAATTTTGTTTCTCACTCTGTTTTAAAATTATAATTGCTCAAGTGCCTAGCCATTATGTATCGGAATATGTTCAAAGATAAAACATTAACTGTGATTACCAGCACATCTGTACTGTGTAACTCTCTTGTTTCAAAAAGTATAGCAAAGAATACAATTGTGTTTCACATAACTGTATATATGATGGTTGATAGAATTAGTTGTATCAGCTTGTTTTTCTTATATTTACTATTTTGACTATTTCCTAATGATTGTTTTCACTATTTCCTAATGGATTTACTGCAAATTTTGTACTCACAAGGCTACTATGAATGGTCTCAGTCTAGAAGCTCTGTAGATATCCAGACTACAAGTAACTCCTGGTGCTCTAAAGCCCAGCAGCCACAAATCCGGTGGGTCCTCCCTGAAGGAAAGAGAAATCTCTGGACAAGCATCCTTTTAAACTGTATGGGACCACGGAAGACCACACCCACTTCCTGAGATTGATTAGATTACACAGAAAGGGGTAAATTGGCTCATTAGATTTATAAAGTATTGAAAACCACACTTGGGGGCCCAAAACTCAACAGACAAATTTTGAATGAGATGTAAGAAAGTTGACTTAACACAGGTTATTAAAAAATATATTTTAACTATAACAATTATTTCATTAAATATTATCACATGCTAATTGGTGTTTTTGTTTGTTTTTGTTTTTTGCTTTTTTTGAGATGGTATGTCGCTCTGTAGCCCAGGCTGGAGTGGAATGGCTCGGTCTCGGCTCACTACAACCTCTGCTTCTCGAGTTCAAGTGGTTCTCTTGCCTCAGACTCCCAAGTAGTTGGGATTACAGGCACCCACCACTATGCCCAGCTAATTTTTGTATTTTTAGTAGAGACGGGGTTTCACCATGTTGCTCAGGCTGATCTTGAACTCCTGACCTCAGGTGATCTGCCCACCTCTGCCTCACAAAGTGCTGGGATTACAGGAGTGAGTCACTGTACCAGGCCACATGCTAACTTTAAAATTTTGTTTCTCACTCTGTTTCAAAATTATAATTGCTTAAGTGCCTACCCGTTATTTATCTGAATATGTTCAAAGATAAAACATTAACTGGGATTACCAGCACATCTGTACTGTGTAACTCTCTTGTTTAAAAAAGTACAGCAAGGAACTCAATTGTGTTTTACATAATTGTATATATAATAGTTGATAGAATTAGTTGTATCAACCTGTTTTTCTTATTTTTACTATTTTATGATTATTTCATAATGACCGTGTTATATGAAAATAAAATTTGTTTTTTATTCATCCACCTTTTTCAATAATTTTAAAACTGATACTTTACATATATATGTACATAACTATCTATATCAATGTTATGTATTCATATTTTTTAAATTATATAATAATTATTTACACAATAATAATAATTATTATTACTTTTTTTTGAGACGCAGTCTCCCTCTGTCACCCAGGCTGGAGTGCAATGGCACGATCTCGGCTCACTGTAACCTCTGTCTCCCAGGTTCAAGTGATTCTCCAGCCTCAGCCTCCCGAGTAGCTGGGATGACAGGTGTCTGCCACCATGACTGGCTAATTTGGGTATTTTTAGTTGAGATAAGGTTTCACCAACTTGGCCAGGCTGGTCTCGAACTCCTGACATCAGGTGATCTGCCCATCTCAGCCTCCCAAATTGCTGGTATTACAGGCATGAGCCATGGCACCTGGCTGCTATTTACACAATAATTATGTGCATAATTACCTTTAACAGTGCATGAAAGTTATTTTTAACACAGTTGCCATACTAACAGATTTTGTTGTTGTTTACCATGATTTAATAAATTCATAAATTATCTAATGTTTGGGGATTTA